TGTCATCCCACAACTCTTCTGGTCTTCAGTCTTTAGTGTTTAATGCATCAAATCTGTTCTTCAGATGATCTCCAAATTCAGGTGGGATAAATTCAAGGTCATATTTTGGCTCTCTCGTAGACTTGTTTTCATTTTCTTCAGCTTCAGTTTGAATTTGCATATAAGTAATTGATGGTATGTTCCACAGTCTGCCCCTGACCTTGTCTTCACTGATGATATGGAGCTTTTCCATCTTATCTTTCCACAGATGTAGTCAATTTGATTTCTATGTGTTCCATCTGGTGAGGTCCATGTGTATAGTTGTCTGTTATGCTGTCTAAAGAAGATATTTGAAATAAACAAATCATTTGTCTTGTTAGATACAGAAAATAAAACAAAAAGACTTGTGAATGAAAACTGATAATTTGGTTCTGATAAGAAAAAAAAAAATAACAGTCGCTCTGGGTGCTCAGTCTGCCTCAGTGGTGGGCCAGGAGCCAGGCCTCTGGCCTCAGTGTGGTGCAACCCCTGGCCACCACCTGGGGTCAGAGCTGAGCTCAGATTTTGTCATTCATTCCCGTTTGCATATGAAGAATGTATTAGTGAACGAAAACCTACAGTAACAAGGCTGAAGCAAGAAATTGGTTTGTCTTTCACTCTCACCTTCGTCAGAGTTCAGGTGAATGAGTTGACCAGGCAATGAATTAGGAGTTAGTGAGAGTTCTACAATGGAGATGAAGGTTGGGAAGTCTTCAGAGAGCACTGGGACAGAACACTGAGGAGCACTAATGTTTAAGGGCCAGGGACAAGGAGTAAGGAAGCAGTGTCAGCAAAACTGAGAAGCTGAGTAGTTGAAGATGGAATTTGGAAAAAAACAAAACAAAAAAGGGTGTTGACTTTATTGGGTTTTAAAATGTAAAATGGAAGTCACAGGGAGGAAGTAGGATAACTTTTGCAGTCATTGAGATGAAACAAAGCATATAGTTTTTTAATGTAAAACTGATGATGTTGTCTGTTAACCTTCCCTCAACTCACAATAAAATTTTAAAATAAAAAAGAATAAAAAGTTAAAAAAAAAAAAAGAACAGTAGAACCAAAGGAGGCTTCACTGAGGTACAGGCTGACTTGGGTCTTAAAATATGTCAAGAATTCAATTAGGACAAAAAACCACACAACCCACCTGGTTGGGAGAAGTTAGGAATGAGCTTGAGTACCTTTGGCATATAGTATAGGAACTCAGGAAAAAGTAGGAAATCAACAGCTCGGGGCATTTTGAGCTTGGTGTTCCAAACATAGCTTCTAAAATTGGAATGAGGCTTTAACGATCTCTAAGTAGGTTTGCCTCACAGTTTAGGGAAACTCACCTTGGGGACCTAGATGAAAGGAAGGGGAAGAGATGAGAGGTAGGAGACAGAGGCCTGGATCATTTTAGCAAAGACAAGCGGAAATACAAACATGAAGAGGGTAGAAGGAAGAATTAGAAAAGCAGATAATGCTTTGAATATGTATTCTTCAGAGAACCTGACCCTTCATGGAAAAGAGGAAGTTAGAGGAAGGAAACTAGATGCATGGAAAAGTAACACATTTTATTTTGAGTCCTGAGTAATGGGTATGCTAGGTACAGATATCAGGCTGCAATCTGGGGTAGAGGTCAGAACCAGACCAGATGGACTGCCCTCATTGCAAAGGTCAGCCCTCCACAGCAGTCTTGCTCCCCTTCCACCACTTGTGCAATCCCCTCAATGTAACGCTAGAGAACTTACTGAAACTTCCAGTTGAACTTCAGTTTCATCATTTGCCAGCTGTCATGAGGTTTTGATGAGACACAAATGACCCTAATGGGCATGGAAATGTTTCTGAGGCTAACAAAGTAAAGGATTTTACAAAATAGGTGATAATAATCATTTTTATTATTACATTAAGCATGTGAATGAGGAAGATCTTGAAGGAAGACAGCAGAAAGAGAAGATCAGAGATCCCAAGGTTAACTCTTGGAGAAATTTCACAATATCTCGTCCAAAAGAAAAGTCCATGATGGAAGCAGAGGTAAACTTGGAGAGGTAAGAGACTCCTAGTATAAGGGACTGCTTTGGGATGGGCCCTGCATAGTAGTAGAAATTTAGTTGGTTAACAAACAGCTATGGAGGTCTTGGGAAGCTGAGTATGATAGGATTACTTTCAGAGTCAGAATTAACATACAATGGACAAAATATCCTCCTGGAGAGGTCTCTATGCTGACCTGAAAAACCTCCAGATCAATCAAATTGCTTAGAGGTTGCCTCAAGAGAACATTTGAATCCTGAACTATTTATTACCCTCTTGAAGAAAGAGTGTGTTACCAAGAGGGATTGTCTTAGTTATCTACTGCTAGTGCTATAACAGATATACCACAAGTGCTCGGCTTTCACAGAAATTTATTCTCTCATTGTTTATGAGGCTAAAAGTTGGAACTCAGGATATAGGCTCTAGAGGGATGCTTTCTTTCTGTAGATTTTGGAGGAAGGTCCTGGTCTCCTTCAGCATCTGTGGGCCTGACATTCCTTGGCGATCTTTGTGTCTTGGCATCAGTTTTCCCCTGGGTCTAGGAGTTTCTCAGTGCAGGGTCTTGGAGTTCAAAGGATGCCTCTTATTCCTGGCCCTTCTTTCTTGGTGGTAACTAGATGCCTCTTGTCTGCTTGCTTCTGTCTCTTGTGAGCTCTTGGGAGATAAAGCTGATGCAGGTCACAACCCAGGGCTCCCACTCTAATTCTGTCTCTAATTATAACCTAATCCTCATTAACATAACCTAATCTGGCCTCATTAACCATAAACCAAACTAAACTTAATGCCATTGAGTCAATTTGGACTTTATAGAGACCTTATATAAGGTTTTGAGAGTCCTGGTGTGGCACTGTAGGATTAGCACTGGACTGTTAGCAGCAAGATCAGCGGTTCAAACCCACCAGCCACTCCTTGGAATCCCTATACAGGGTTGCTATGAGTTGGAACCCACTTGATGGTACTTAACAACAACTGGTCCTGTAAAGATTTACAGTCTCAGAAACCCTATATGTTGTAGTTATGTGCTGTCAATTTGATCCCGACTCAACCACCCTGTGTAGGGTTTCTGAGGAATGGCTGGTGAGTTTGCTGACCTTGCCATCCAGTATTTATCCTACAGTGCCACACTAGGACTCCTCCATTAAGGGCTGTTGTTTTTAAGTGCCTTGGAGTCAGTTCCGACTCATAGTGACCCTTTATAGGGTTTCTGAGGAGCGGCTGGTAGTTCTGAACTGCTGATTTTGCGGTTCAAACTTACATTGCCGTAGAGTGCTATCCTATAGCGCCACTCCAGAACTCCATTAAGGGCAAGCCTAGGCAAATCCCTGGAGTCCTGGTGTGGCACTGTGGGTTGATGTGCCAGACTGCAAGACCCTTTGAACTGCAAGGTCAGCGGTTCAAGTTCACCAGCTGCTCCTTGGAAACCCTATACAGGGTCGCTATGGGTCGGAATCAACTCGATGGCACTTAACAACAACATACAAGGGGCTGAAGGCAAAGTTACATGTCTTTTAGGAGTGGATAGTCACAGAAGTTACTGTTGTCAGACCGCTAGCCTTAAAATTGGGTCCTGCCAACACTGACCACGCAGTTAGTTGTCCAGTACTTATCCTATAGTGCCACACCAGAGATAGCATTATTTGGTTTTATGTCCACCAGCCACTTTGCAGGAGAAAGATGAGATTTTAATGCCTTGGAAACCCTATACAACTTCACTATGTATTGGAACCAACTCGATGGCACTTAACAACAACAACATTAAAACAACAGAGAGCTTGATGGCTCTGTAGGATAAGCACTAGACTGCAAAACAAGGTCAGTGGTTCAAGCCCACCAGCCATTCCGGCGGAAGAAAAATAAGACTTTCTGCCCCTGCAAATTGAGTCAGAACCAACTTGATGGCATGTAACAACACTGATGTAAATATTAAATGTCTTCCGACTTTGGTTTTCTGGGTTTGAAAGCTTAAGACCACTGTCTCAGTGACAAGTCTTGTCAATTGGCATAATATGATTCATAAAAATCAAGATCTGTATCCTAAAAAAAAAAAAAAAAATTGGGTCCTGCCAAGAACTGTCCTGAGGTGAGCTGAATTTTCCCAGCTCCAAGTTTCTGGGTTCAGCGTCAGGCTCATGCTGTGGGCCCTGCAGTGGTTCTATGCTTTTGCAGCTGACACAAGTTACTGTGTTCTTGTTTCTATCCAGGGTACCTACCAATAAGGAAGCAAAGCTCCAAAAAACAAGGAAATTATAGACTTCAGGTGCCCTATCTGAAATAATGTTGCAACATGGGAGCTAGGGTTTCTTAAACAATGTGGTGGTGGCCAGGTCTCAATCTGACTCCTATCTTCCCGATTCTCTCTTCTAGGCTCTTGCCAGAACGTCCTTATCCCTTAGCATTTCAAACCACAGACTCTCACTACTCGCTGTCACTGCAAGTGTTGTTTCCTCCTCTAAGATGCCTTCCTAGGCTTGAATTGGAAAGCCTTTTCTAAGCCCTAGGCTGAGCCAGATGCGCCATGCCACATCCATGGTTCTCTGAAAGAGATCCCCTTGAGGACAGGGGAAATCTGTATCTCTTTTCTCTGTACAGTTTCTTCCACACCAGATTTTACCAAGCAAACCCTGATTTCAAGTCATATTTCCGGTTGTCCTGATGTGGGGTTAGGAAAATATACAACAGTCGCCAAGCAATGAGAAAGCCAGTCTAGCCAAGGAGTTCCCTAGCCAGGGAGCGCTCCACTTGCACTTCCCCCGGCCGGCGCCAGAGGCCGCCGGTCTCATTGTTTTCCTTTTTCGCCCGGGGTCGGGGCCGGAGGCCTGCAGAGCGCATGCTCTGGGGTAGTTCGCGGCCAGGCCTGAGAGCTGTGGAGTTATTGTAGCCGATCTGTGCCCAGGTAAGGTTGCGTCGAGTCGGGCAAAGGGTCAGGCAGAGGGCTGCGCACGGGACTGCCATAGCCCGAACCCTGGCTGGTCCCGCGGTGGGCGGGAACCGTTGTCTGCTCGCTTCAGGATCCCGCGGGACTGTCTCCACGTGAAACCGGGCTGCAGGACGGCGCGGGTAAGGGCGAGCTCTGCTCCGGCCTGGCGGGGCCCCAGGGCGGCCACTCGAATAGTCTCCTCCCACTAGGGACGCGACCCCTTTGCGACCGCCGCTTCCACGCCTGCCCCGTGGCGTCCGCGCGGGCGGGAGATTCAAACGGCCCGAGAGCGGCGCTGGCCAGTCGGATGGCGGGGCAAAACGCACGCGGCTTGGGCGCGCCGGCCTCGTTCCCAGAGTGGCACCTTTGACTTGGGGCGCAGAACGGCGCGCCTCTTGGCCTGGGCCCGGCTTCCTTGGGGAGGACTGTTTCCGGGGCGGAAAAAGTTATTTCTTTCAGCACTGGGAAAAACGATTTGCAGAGCAAGGAAAGAAGGAATCCTTCCGGGAGAGAGGCTACTTTAGAAACTCCAGGGTAGGCTGGTGTAAGGGTCTGCTACTGAGAACCGTACCTCCGCTTCAACCCGCTCTGCCAACAACTTACTTATTGGTGTTTATTGTGGGATATTCTTACAGGTCTGGGGAACAGTGGTGAAGAGGACCCGTAGCGTGTGGCCTATATGTAGTTCCTCGCCTCTGAGGGGGAGAACTCATGTGGGTCCCACCCAGTTCCGGTCTAGTGTGCTCATGGAGGTGTGACTTTGGTAAACTGCTGCCTGCAAGTCATTTGTTCATCAGATGTGTGTCTTGGGCTGTAGCATAAGGTGATGTGGGGGAGTGTTAAGAGGACCACGTGGGGGACACCTAGCCCTGCCTAGGAGGGCCAAGGACGACTTTCTAGGTGAGGTGACTCTTGATTTTGAGGGAACAGTAAGAGAGGCAGACTGTGGGTAGAGGGGTTAGGGTGATCCAGGTAGAGGAAGAGCACATGCAAAGGCTTGGACTACAAGGTGCGTGTTGTGACCAGGTGGTCAGGGGTGTTTCAGTCTTATTGGAGCATAGTGTGTGAGAAGAGGAACAAGATGTTATCACTGGAGAAGAAGGCAAGGACCCAGCCAATAAAGGTTTCATGTGACAACTTGGGTGCTGTGGAGGCAGGAAGGTTTCCCCCAGGAAGGCCTATGAGTGGAGTCTGGGAGTCTCTTGTAAAGACATCCAACTTCTTAGTTGGGTGCTTTTTGAGCTACCCACCTAATCTACTGAGCCTTAGGCCTGGTTGTGCATGCAGTGGTTAAAAGAGCTCAGCTGTTAACTGACAGGTCAGTGGTTTAGTATCACCAGACACTATGAAGAGAAAGCTGTAGCCATATGCTGTTAGTTCCCTTGAACCTCCATGGGGCAGTTCTCTGTTTTGTAGAGTTCCTGTGAGTCACAGTCGACAGGACAGCAAAGGTTTGGGTTTGGTTTTAGCTTCTTTATCTGTAACGATAATTTAAGAGGCTTGTGGTAAGGATTACTGATAATCCTATAATTTCCATAAGGCAATGTCTGGAAGCATCTGGTGAAAAGTATGGCTTTCTTTCTTTGAAAAATGAATACATGTAGGCCCAGGCACACTTCTGCAAGCAAGGGGGACCCCAGGTGGAGAGCTCCACATGTGTAGTGTGCCAGCAGGAACCTTTCTCACAAAAAGCCTCTTGAGTCTGGCAAGCAGGTATCTACCTCCTGGCATGGGTGGGGAGCAAAGGGACAGATGCTGTGTCAGAGAGCACGCTGTCTCCCTTGGCACAAATTGTGGTGAGCTGAGGTCACAAGTTCACAGCAGGAACATGATGTGTCCCTTTTCGCCCCCCAGCCCCTGAGGCCTGTCTGGTGTACTTCTCCCCAAATCAAAATGCTAATATTGCCAATGAGTAGATTCTGACTCATTAAGCTAAGTGCTGCCAAGTTGGTTCCGACTCACAGCGACCCTGTATACGGTTCCCAAGGAGCGGCTGGTGAGCTTGAACCTTGCGGCTCAATCTGATCTGGCAGTCCAGCGCATTAGCCCGCAGCACCACACCAGGACTCTTAGTGACCCAGTAAAGACACAGTAGAATTG